ATATAACTCTTGTTGCAAATCTTGTTGTCACGGCCCTTAACTGGACCAATGCATCAGAAGGCAACAATTTTTGAACCAAGGTACCTCAAATGGGCTAACTTAGAGCGGGGATCCCCAACCCACTGGTCTGTGGACCTGCACTGGGCCTCGGTATGCCAGCAACCGGGCCGTGCAAACAAGCCCCATCTGCGGGATGCAGGCAGAACACGAAATCACAGCCCCTCCGGTCCAAGGAAAAAACCTTCCTCCACAGAACTGGTCCCTGATGCCCAAAAGATTGGGGGGCTGCTGACTTAGAGAATGTGTCTAAAATTCGGAGCCCATGACTCCCAAGGGAGGGAGCAAAAATGGTTAGAAATGGTTCCTTCTAATGAATTTGGTTAATTTTGGATGAGTATAATTTTGGAAAGAATCCTCGGGATATTTTGATGTACTAAGTTTCAGCAACCATCTGATTGGTGTTTTGAACGCTTCCCTGTCCAACCCAAGATAATCATGGACAGCCTCTGAGAAATGACAGGACATATATTCAAATGAAAATTCCACCCTAGGATACAATTCAAAGACAAATGTCCTGTAATCTAATGGAAACCAGTTTTGCACATAAAAGATTCATTAAAACACTGCCGGGGTTTATAGAAAGTAGAATCTTTCCCGAAACACTGAAAGAAACATCTCTCAATACAGCTAGTCCTTGACTTACAATACTTCATTTGGTGACCGTTCAAAGTTACAACAGCCCTGAAAAAAGTGACATATGCCGTTTTTCACAGTTACGACCTTTGAAGCATTCCCATATGATCATGGAATCAAAATTCCGATGCTTGGCAACTGGTTCATACTTATGACCGTTGCTGTGTCCCAAGGTCATGTGATCACCTTTTGCAACCTTCTGACAAGCAAACTCAATTTTAAGATTCACTTAACAACTTGGTTACTAACTTATTAACTGCAGTGATTCACACAACTATGGCAAGAAAGATCGCAAAATGGGGCAAAGCTCACTTAACAAATGTCTCAGTTAACAACAGAAATTTGGGAGTGGTGGTCAAATATGGCCACCCCGAAGAGGAAGAGCTAACCGGGAGAAAGATTGTGTTGGAGCGGTGAAGAAGAGGACAGTGTGAAAACCGGGCTAACCAGGCGCAACATTTGGACGTAATTAAGACTTCCCTGGTCTAGGCAACAGATTTAATCAAAAGAAGGACTAGGGGTGACATAATAGCAGTATTTCAATATCTTTGGAGTTGCCACAAAGAAGGTCAAGCTATTCTCCAAAGCACCTGAAGGCAGGACAAAGAAACAATGGATGGAAACTAATCAAGGAGAGAAGCAACCTAGAACTGTGGAGAAATTTCCTGTGGAATTATCAGTGGAGCAACTTGCCTCAGGAAGTTGTGAATGCTCCAACACTGGAAGTTTTTAACAAGAGATTGGACAATCATTTGTCTGAAGTGCTAGAGGATTTCCTGCCTGAGCAGGGGGGTGGACTAGAAGACCTCCATGGTCCCTTCCAACTCTGTTATTCTATTCTAGATAATGAGATGGGTGGCCTATGAATGGCTGGCATATAAATTTAGTAAAAAAATAATAATAATTCTGCTATTGCTACCATAATGCTTCAAATTACAAGGTCTCTCAGTTTTCCAAAGGTGTGGCAAATAAAACAAATGTAACGCAGCAGGAAACCTCCGTTCTTGTTTTTGAGGTTGGATATCTCCACAGTGATGTGAAGCCTTGGGGCCAGTTTGGCTTCTTGAGATTTCCTGCTTCTCTGTTCAATATAAAAAGCAGGGCCCTCCACCCCCCCACCCCCCACCCATCACCAATTCTTTTCTATGAGGTCATTTGCAACCATCTCAGCAGTTGCTCAACTTTTACACCAAGGTAGAAATGAGTGCATTTGAATGCTAAGCTCATTCTTCTATTTTTATTCCTATACATTCAGTTTCTTAAAAATAGAGGAAATGGCAGCTTTAATAGGAGAATTATCTTTGCTGAATGTGGAAAAGGAGAACATAAAGGGAAGATTCATCCATTTAGATACTTTAACTTCCTGATATTTCCTGTGGGAAGAATTATTGGCCTAAAATTTACATTGATCATCTATGGAATGGGCCCCCCCCCCCCCCGCCCTCAAAAAAAGAAAAAAAAAGAAAAAGAAAAAAGAAAGAAAGATCTGAATGGGTCCTACTATGCTGGTGGTTTCCTTAATTTTTTATTACTTTAAAATAATAGAAAAAGAGGAAAACATAAAAGAAAATGCAAAAATATACACTGTACATTATCAGAAAAAGTATATAACAAGTACTTAAAAAGTGAAAAAAATAGAACAGGAAATTAAAAAAATATATATAAAGTAATTACAACAGTAGCAATTACACTTTTTTATATAATTATCTAAACAAATAGTCATATATGTATTACACTTGTATAATTACCATGCTTTGTACACTGCACTTGGTACAAATGAGCCCCATATTTCATTATATTTATCCATACAAAGTCTACATTGATAGGCAGTCTTCTCATAAGTAGTAAGTACAGTCAGGTCTTCAATCTATTGAGTAAATGAGGACATGTATTTATTTTTCCATCCTTGCAGTACTAAGGGCATGGAGAATCCATTTAGTTATCCAGTTGTCACATTCCATGAATAGATGTGCTGAAGTCATCAACATTAAAACATTAGCACCAATTGTTGACTTCCAATACATATATTTAAAACTTGAGAATAGGTACTTTTGATGATATTGCTCCAGATTTGGAAAATTGAATTCTCCCTCATTAATTGGTACTTGCATCTTGTGTAAATATATTCTTGGAATTGAAGAGCCCCATAATTTTTTTCTAAAAAAAGAATGTATTTTCTGAAAATATTTCCCATATATTTGAACAGGAATTCCTCTCAGGACATAAATTAATTTGGGAATAATATTTATTTTGTCAGCATTCTCCAAAGGATGAATCCCATCTATCCATATCTTACTAAACCTCTTTTTACATTTGATTTATATTACATGTTACCAAGCTACATCTTTCCGTATAGGCATACCAAAATATTTAATGGAGTCAGTACAAATATGAAATTGTTATTTCTTAAATAGAAGGATAACTAAATTTATCAAGTTCAACAATTACAATTAGGACTAGTTAATAGATTATCCTGCTACTTTACTAAGGCATCTATCATTAGCATCAACACTGGAATAGCATGTTTAGAATTAAGCAAAAGAATATAATCTGCAAATAAAATCAGTTCATCTTTTTATTATTTTATTTTTTAAAACATTTAAAGATTTTTTTTTTAGTTTTCTTTAACCTGTTATGTATTTTTTCTTTTTCTTAAAAAAATTCTTCTGTAGCCCACCCTCCTTGTCTTTCCACCCTCAGGTTGATTGATTGATATGTTCAGCTGAATTATGGTGAGGGGCCAAAGAATTGGCTCTTCACCCAGGCGCCCTTTAAACTTTGGTTGTTTTTGTTGTTGATGTTTCCACCTGGTTTGTTATTCTGCCATTCCTACCCCCTTTTATCCTTGTCACTATTATTATCATATTTAAAATTTTTATTTAGCATATGCTGACAGCATGACAGAAGAGAAGTAAACAATATACACAGTCCACATAATGGTATATACAACTTCTATGGAGATTCGGCAGAGGCCTCATATCTGGATGTCCAATCCAGCTATCCATGGGCGATCTTGCATAAGATGTTTAATATTTCGCAATGTTGTTGGCTCCAGAATCACAACAAGGGGAATCTTTCCATTCCCGCTGATACAGGGTAGAGCACGGGTGTCAAACTCGCGATGTCACATTGTCATCATATGATGTTTTTTGATGTTTTCTCCCTTCACGGAGCTGGAGTGGGTATAGCCTGCACGTGATGCATCTGGCCCACTGGCTGCTCGCTTGACAGCCCTGAGGTAGAGTCACTTCTTCCAGTATCACACCTAATTCTGTTCAATTTCAACCAGACAGAACGAGGCAGGTCAAAATCAGGTGGTTTGTTAGACGGATTGTGAATGGTCAGGCCACAAGAAGGTACCTTTGTTTTAAATTAGCGGTCCTCCTACCTTTTGGGCACCAAGGACCGGTTCCTTGGAGAGAGGTTTTTCTACTGAGCGAAGGGGGCGTGGTTTCACATGCCTGCATCCCGTGAATGGGGCTTTGCTTGTGTGCGCGGCCCAGTTTCTGGCATGCTGGTGTCAAGTCCATGGACCGAGGAATGGGGACCCCTGTTTTAAATCATTTGTAAACCACCCAGAGTTGCTGTTGTGGTTCGCCGGCAGCAATCAGGTGGACGTTCCTGAGAAGCCTGTGCTGGGTGTGGGTGAGAGCAGGATGATTTATGGAAGAGCAGCACAGGCGACTCGGGAGTAAGAATGCTAATTAATGGCCCCTCCCTCTAGGGAATATAAGCCTTTTGCAAAAGGCAAAAGTTTTAAGGAGTTAGCGTGAAGATTACAGACTCTGATTTATTGGACTAATTGGCTGCAAGCTGTCAGTTATCTACAAAGAGGGTTATTTGTGGAATAAAGCCGTGAACGTTTCAGTTTTGGACTTTATCTGTGTTTGCTTTCGGAAACGGGCTGGGACAGAACAGTTGCTGGGAGTCGGACGGCATATAAATATGTGAATCTAATCACACATGCATGAATTCTCCTCTTGAGAACCTCTTTGAAGAGATTCCATTAGCATCAATGTATTTATGCATCAAATCTGCTGTCATTCAAAGAAAGGCATTTGTACAAACGGCTGTGGAATGAACTTTCTTGCCTTAGGAGAGGATGCTGTAGTTCTGCTTCTAACTATGTGTGAAATGCTTCCCTTTCAGAACCAAAGCCAGCCGTGTTTCTCCAACACGGCTTTCTTGCGGATGGCAGTAACTGGGTGACCAACCTAGACTACAACAGCCTGGGTTTTGTGCTAGCTGATGCTGGTTTTGATGTTTGGTTAGGGAACAGCAGAGGCAACACCTGGTCCCGAAAACACATCAACTATACCACAAAGCAAAAAGAATTCTGGATGTTCAGGTAGACAAATTTGCTAAACGTTAGGAACTGTTTGGTTTTGCCCCTCTACCTATCCCTCTTTTTCTGCTATATGGATGAAACTGTCTATGACTTCTTCACCAAGTCCATAAAATGTAAACTGACCTTTTTATATTCATTAAGAACATTGCTAATTACATTTTTGTCCTGGCACTTTCCCAAAGCTGACTTTTTTAAAAAAGAAAAGTCTATAAAGAGACTTTCTCTTTATAACCCTCCAGGTTTACTAAAAAAAAGAAGAAGAAGAAGAAGTTGCAGAAAGGAAGGGAAAATGCCGAAAGAAAGAGTTAAGCAGGCTGATTGGGCAATTCTAGGAGCTGAACTGCAGAAATCTTAAAAGTTATTGAGGTTGAGAAACACCGGATTAAAAGACCTAGATTCCAGATGATCCCCAGCTATAAAAGTTCAGTGGATATTTTTGAGCCTGTTGCTGTTTCTTAGCATAGATATCAAAGTTGTTGTGGTTCAGAAAAATGGGAAGAGTGAATGGTGTGTAGGCCAGTTTGAGCTCCTGAAGGTGGAATATAAATGAAATAAAGGAGAGTGCATGACATATATAATAAAACAAGTAAGTAAAGAGGGACACACCCACACACCTAAACACACACTTCATGTGCTTATATTCTTCTGGGTAGGTTGCAGGATCTTGGGAAGCAAACTATGGAATCATTGGAAGACTATATAAATAAAAATAACACTGGAATAAAATTGGTCATGATTGTTGAAAGCTCTTTTGCAGAGCGCAGAGAGGTTTCTCAAATACACTTGTTAATGTTAATTGCATTTTATAGTTATTTCATCTTTGACGTAGTCTTTTAAAACAAGTCACATCTTCATTGTAAGGAAAGCAGCTAAACCAGATGTGTCTTGATAGGTCAGTAAAGGACTCATGAACCCTAAATATGACTTGAACCCTGGTATCTTTCCATCACATTGACTGGATATCATTGGGTGGCATCTTGGATAATATCAGTGGAACAACTTGCCTCCAGAAGTTGTAAATGCTCCAACACTGGAAGTTTTTAAGAAGAGATTGTATAACCATTTGTCTGAAGTGGTGTAAGGTTTCCTGCCTAAGCAGGGGGTTGGACTAGAAGACCTCCAAGTTCCCTTCCAGCTCTGTTCTTCTATTTTAATATGGATCCCACTTCTTTATGTAATGTGTAAATCTGACGGATTCCCCTCTCCTCTTTAGTTTTGATGAAATGGCTAAGTATGACCTTCCTGCTTCAATAAATTTTGTCTTGAACAAAACTGGTCAGGAGCAACTCTTCTACGTTGGTCATTCTCAAGGCACCACCATAGGTAAGTTAACAAACTAGTTTGCATAAATAACATTGGTAATTTTAATAGCTACGTAGGTGAAGTTGAATTTCATAATGCTTAATGATAAAAAATAATTACGCCAAATACAGGTAAATAATCTGAATCAGTATTCCTTAAATTGATGTTTTGAAGATAAATTATGACTTTAGCTTGTGGAATGTGTAATCTGAAGGGTATTAGCTTAGGAAAGACATATTTTAAATAATGAAAAGTTAAATAATGGAAAGTATGAAAGTTTGAATGAAGACTTTAGGGTTTTGAAGTGACTTTGGATTGAATTAAGATGTCTTGGACCAAATGAACATCCCAATTTCAGTTGAACTGTATAAAAGGATATGTGGAATACAGTGTGTCTGCACAATGGATTAAATCCTCTTCCTGGTTTGTTGCCTGCCTATTTTAAAAATGGCATACCCTAGGTAACACAGCCGTTGCCTGTGGAAAAAAGAAATCAAGTTTTTTCAGCATAGCAAAAGAGGCTTTTATATATTTCAGAGTGTTTGATCATTTTGAAAGTTGCTTTGGTTTTATAAAGAAAAATGGATGAAAGAATTGTTCAGGCACAGACAAAGTCCCCTTTGCCTTAATGATGCTGGCCATAAATTGTGAAAATTATGAAAAATACAGTTCATTTTGTGAAATATGCAACAGATTGTTTTCTTACTGATTTTGTTCAGCCGCATAGCTTAAGATCTATTCGTGTCTTTTGTGTTTCTCCTTCTTCCAGGTTTCATAGCATTTTCAGCTTTTCCAGAATTGGCAAAAAAGATAAACATGTTTTTTGGATTGGCACCCATTATGAATGTGCAGTTTTCATCCAGTGCTATGATCAAACTTGCAGGTCTTCCTGAATTGCTATTTAAAGTACGTGTTTTGTTTAAAATATTTGTTTGAACCACAAAGTGCAGCTGTTAGGTGATGCAGCTGAATACTACATTTCTTCTTGTACATACTTAAAGAAAAGACCAACATGCCTTTGAACAAAAGTCTCAACAAGGAATTCAGTTTTAAACAAACACTACATGTGTGTGAGTTGAGGTGTTCTGGGCCATTATAAATGATGGCTGTCTATTCTGCTTCCTCCTCTTTTCTTTCCATAGCGGGGAAGAGTGAGGTTGAGCAGATAGAGACAGCAAGTGGCCCAAAGTTATTTTTATGGATATACATTACCCCTCTCTCTGAAATTATTGAAAGCTGCCCAGCAGAGTTGTTGAAAGGAAAGAAAAAGCACCAAAACATTCCACATATGGATTAATTAACATATTTAACAGATTAACAGAGTTGCAAGGGATCTTGTAGATCATCTAGTCCTACCCCTCTGCCCAAGCAGGTGATCATGTACCATTTCTGACAAGTAGCTATACAATGTCTTCTTGAAAGCCTCCAGTGACGAAGCTCCCACAACTTCCGAAGGGAAGCTGTTCCATTGCGTGATTGTTCTCACTGTCAGAAAGTTTCTCCTTATTTCCAGGTCGAATCTCTCCTTGTTCAGTTTCCATCCATTATTCCTTGTCTGGCCTTCGGGTGCTTTGGAAAATAGCTCGGCCCCTTCCTCTCTGTGGCAGCCCCTCAAATATTGGAACACTGCTATCGTGTCTGCCCTGGTCCTTCTCTTCACTAGATTAGCCATGCCCAGTTCCTGTAACTGTTCTTCATATGTTTTGGCCTCCAGTCCCCTAATCATCTTGGTTGCTGTTCTCTGCACTTTTTCTAGAGTCTCAACATCTTTTTTATAGTGTGGTGACTTACTTTCATCACACTATACAAAATTACTTTCTTGGCCTTGTTGCTTGCAGGAACCTTGTTGTGCACAATCTTAAAATGAGTATAAAGTAGGGAAAATCCCAATTTAAGCAACATGTGAAGTACTATAGATTAGATTTCACTTTGGATGGATTTGTATTTGAAAAATAAAAATTGAAAGTAGTTCTTCTGATTATCAGTCTCAGTTTACAGGTAGATCTCTACTTACCTTTTACTGTTGAAAGTTAAGAATGGCACTGAAAAAAGTAATTTATGACCATTTTTCATATTTGCCATCGTTGCTGCATCCCTCTGGGATACATGTTCAAAAATTCAGGTGCTTGGCAACTGACCCATATTTATGACTGTTGCAGTGTCCTGAGGTCACATGATCTTCTGACAAAGAAGTCAATAGGGAAACCAGATTCACTTCACAACACTGTTATTAACGTAACATCTGACTCATATTTATGACTGTTGCAGTGTCCTGAGGTCATGTGATCACCTTTTGTGATCTTCTGACAAGCAAAGTCAATGGGGAAACCAGATTCACTTCACAACAGTGTTACTAATTTAACATCTGTAGTGGATTCAGTTAATAACAGTGGCAAGAAAGATTGTAAAATGGGGGTAAAACTCACTTAACAGTTGGCTCAATTGTAGTGATACGTGTATTCTTCTGGTGCAGACAAAAGCTTATAAGCCCTGTGTTAGGCTAACCCAAATCTTGCATAGATAAAATTAAAAAATGAAATGGTGTCCCTACTTTCAGAGGACTTGTTCCACATTGCACACTCCAGGATTCTGCGTGTTGTTTGATTAAACATTAGCCAATAACCCGGCATTGCCCGGGTATTTATTTATCCCAATCCTGTATTAGACAGAAAAATGCTGTTGTCAGGCCTCACAGTGTTGTACTGTTCCTGCATGTCTAGATGTAATAGCTCTATCTCTCTTATCCTTTAGTCAGGCCTTACGCTGCTGTACTGTCTCTGAAATTCTAGATGTAGTAGCTCTCTTGTGGAGCATCGCAGGTCTTCTATTCCTCTCCTCGGGAGTTTCTTTTCTACGCTGGTGTTTCATTTTTGTAGCATTTGATTGCACTTGGGCAATCGCTTGATGTTTCATTGGAGGGCTGAGAGGGAGCCCCCTTGTGGAGTACTGTGAAGCCGTTACCATGGCAAGTCCACTGTGCTGTACAGTAGAAGCCATTTTAAGGCACACATCCCCCAAGGGGTGTTAGGGGTTTTCTTACCCGCACAGTATTTGTTTCCAGAGGGTAAGTCATCTGCCTACCACGTTTGGTTGAAATTGCTCGAGACGTTCCAGAGTTATGTTGGAACACACACACACACACACACACACACACACACACACACACATATACACACACACATACTGCTCAAAAAAATAAATAAAGGGAACACAAAAATAAGACTTCCTAGATCTGAATGAATGAAATATTCTTACTAAATACTTTGTTCATTACATAGTTGAATGTGCTGACAACAAAATCACACAAAAATTATCAATGGAAATCAAATTTAGCAACCCATGGAGGTCTGGATTTGGAGTTACACTCAAAATTAAAGTGGGAAAAAAACACTATAGGCTGATCCAACTTTGATGTAATGTCCTTAAAACAAGTCAAGATGAGGCTCAGTAGTGTGTTTGGCCTCCACGTGCCTGTATGACCTCCCTGCAATGCCTGGGCATGCTCCTGATGAGGTGGCAGATGGTCTCCTGAGGGATCTCCTCCCACACTTGGGAGGAAGGATCCTGAGGGATCTCCTCCCACAGGCTGTGGTGCAACGTGGCGTTGATGGATGGAGCGAGGCATGATGTCTCAGATGTGCTCAATTGGATTCAGGTCTGGGGAACGGGCGGGCCAATCCATAGCATCAATGCCTTCGTCTTGCAGGAACTGCTGACACACTCCAACCACATGAGGTCTAGCATTGTCGTGCATTAGGAGGAACCCAAGGCCAACCACAGCAGCATATGGTCTCACAAGGGGTCTGAGGATCTCATCTCAGTACCTAATGGCAGTCAGGCTACCTCTGGTGAGCACATGGAGGGCTGTGCAGCCCTCTAAAGAAATGCCACCCCACACCATTACTGACCCACTGCCAAACCGGTCATGCTGGAGGATGTTGCAGGCAGAGAACATTCTCCACGGCGTCTCCAGACCCTGTCACGTCTGTCACATGTGCTCAGTGTGAACCTGCTTTCATCTGTGAAGAGCACAGGGCAGTGGCGAATTTGCCAATCTTGGTGTTCTCTGGCAAATGCCAAACGTCCTGCACAGTGTTGGGCTGTAAGCACAACCCCCACCTGTGGATGTTGGGCCCTCATACCACCCTCATGGAGTCTGTTTCTGGCCGTTTGAGCAGCCACATGCACATTTGTGGCCGGCTGGAGGTCATTTTACAGGGCTCTGGCAGTGCTCCTCCTGTCCCTCCTTGCACAAAGGTGGAGGTAGTGGTCCTGATGCTGGGTTGTTGCCCTCCTACGGCCTCCTACACATCTGATGTACTGGCCTGTCTCCTGGTAGCGCCTTGATGCTCTGGACACTACGCTGACAGATACAGCAAACCTTCTTGCCACACCTTGCATTGATGTGCCATCCTGGATGAGCTGCACTACCTGAGCCACTTGTGTGGGTTGTAGACTCCGTCTCATGCTACCAGTAGAGTGAAAGCACCTCCAGCATTCAAAAGTGACCAAACCATCAGCCAGAAAGCATAGGAACTGAGAAGTGGTCTATGGTCACCACCTGCAGAACCACTCCTTTATTGGGGATGTCTTGCTAACTGCCTATGCTTTCCACCTGTTGTCTATTCCATTTGCACAACAGTATGTGAAATTGATTGTCAATCAGTGTTGCTACCTAAGTGGACAGTTTGATTTCACAGAAGTGTGATTGACTTGGAGTTACATTGTGTTGTTTAAGTGTTCCCTTTATTTTTTTTGAGCAGAGTAGATAGAAAGAAGATAGATTAAGGTTAAGTGGCATCCTTGGTAGTAACACCAGTCCTGTAATGCAAAAGATCATCTTTGCTGACAATATGCTGTAGCTTAATTATTGAACATGCCGTCGTAGGGAAAAAATTTACTCTGAAGTGCCATGAATTCAGTACGAAAACCATAGCGGGAAAATCGATCAATGCTTCCGCAGAATATATCAAAGAAAATAGAGCTTGATGATTCCGTAATGATAATGTTTAGCGTTTAAACAATGTCCCCCAGTGCATTGGTTTGGCTCATTCTGCCAGATCGAGAAGGAGAGATGTTCAGTTGCTCCAAGTTCTCTGTTGAGTTGGTGCCTAGAAAATACTTGAATTGAGTGTTGTGTGTGTTTTACCTGTTCTTACTACTTCTTTGAAAAGATGAAGTGCCTATTCAGGTTGGAAAAAAGAAGTAGTTCATGATTGCCTTGGCAAAGGTCAAGAGATTTGATAGCTGTTCCAGTCTCACTGAAGTAGCCATGAAGATCCTGCCCATGTGGATTAATCTGCTGAAATTAATCTGCTGAAAATTAATATAGAATACATTGCAGAAAATGTCCAGAGTGCCACCAAAAGCTCTATTAAGAGTGAGCAATCATATGACTCTATTGCATATGAAATCAAACGTAATATTTTCTCTGTCTTGCTCCCAGCTTTTTTAGAATACAACTCCCTTCTATGACACTTCCCCCCCCCCGTGCTCCCCTCTCCCAAAAAATACAGGGCCCAGAATAATGGTTGAATGTTACATCTTTCAGGTTATTATTGAGTGTAATTTCATTCTATTTGTTCACATACAGTATTTTCTCAATTCTGTAGCATTAGGATCAAGTTTTTGTTTTTCTTTTGGTCCACTGAATCATAAAGTAGTGAAATAAATTTATTTTCCAAATTCAGCCTCAGTGTTTTGTAAATTTGGCAATAACATAGAATAATAGGGTTGAAAGAGACCTTAAAGCAGGTGTGTCAATCTCCTGGGCCGCAGGCTGGTTGTGTCACGCACTGGCCATGGCCATCCCCGTTTTAGCAAAGGGAAAAGTGATACGCGCAGCGAGTTTGACAACCTTGTCTTAGAGATTACTAGTCCAACCCCCAACCCATGGCAGGAAATCTCACACCACTCTGGATAAATGGCTTTATAATCTCTTCTTGGACACCTTCAGTGATGGAGCATCCATAAGTTCGGAAGGCAAGCTATTCCTCTGGTTAATTATTTTCACTTTCAGGAAATTTCTCCTTAGTGCTAGGATGGTTCTCTCTTTAATGATCTTCCACCCATTACTTATTGCCCAGCCGTAGGATTCTGTGTTAATCATATTGAGAAGCATCCTTTTTTTCCAGCAAAGTGACGTATATCATTATACTATTCTTATTTTGGCAGGAAATATTTGGAACCAAGCAGTTTTTACCCCAGAATGCGCTTATAAAATGGCTTGCTACCCACGTGTGCGACCGTGTTTTACTTGATGATCTTTGTGGAAACTTTTTCTTTCTCATGTGTGGATTTAATGAGAAAAACCTAAACATGGTAAGAGCGTGAATTAAATGCGTAAACTCTGTTTTGAAACGAAATGAATTAATCTGTAAAGGTTTTTTAAAATAATACTGTGCATGTTATCAGACAGGCAAATACTCTTCTCTAAGCTGATATCTTGGCTATTCGGTAATGAAAGACTGAGAATCATGGCCAGCTTAAGAATGGCACGATGGAGTCTCTCAAGTTCTAAAGACTCCCTCAAGTAAAGTTGAACTGGGTTTTTTAAAATTTTTATAACAAAAACAACAAATAAAACCATCTTTCAATTGTACTGTGTGTCAATTGGGTGCCTATATCTTGGGCATATAATAATACTGGTATACATTTCTTATTGAGTTTACATTCATATTATATTATAGTAAACATTATATATCCTCTTATATCATTATTACCTTGTCATTAAGTTTTAATTTCAATTTCAAACTATCCTTAAAGGCAAATCCCAAATAGTACTAAATTATATTTATATTAAAGTTTATTCACAAATAATCAATTTTAGTATATCGTTATTAATACAATATCCTTTAATTTCTTACTCTATTTTCTGGCCATCCATAGAATAACACCCAAATCTTATAGTACTCATTTTCTTCTTGTTCTCTAATTGCTAAAGTTAATTACTCATTTCTGCACATTCCATTATTTTTTTAATCTCCTCCTCCTCCATTGGAATTTTATCATTTTTTCCAATTTTGAGCAAATACAATTCTAGCTGCAGTTAATACATTAATATTAAAGTATGTTATTTCTTTACTATAGCTTTCAGGCAAAATCCCCAATAAAAATATCTCAGGTTTTAAGTCTATGTATCATTCTTTCTAACCACGTGTGTATTTTAGTCTAAAGTCTTTTAGCTTCCGTGCATGTCCACATGTGGTAGTATGATCCAGGTATCTGATGACATTTCCAACATTTCACTGATTTATCTTTAAACATCTTTGCTAGTCTTGCTGGGATTGGTGCCACCTGTAAAACATCTTGTACAAATTCTCTTTATAGTCTGTTGACATTGTTAATTTATAATTTCTAGTCCATAATTTCAGCCGTTTATCCAAATCTATGCAAATGAACTGTTTTTTTTTCAGTTGCATAAATTAGTCTAGTTCATCCAAAAACTAGACAGATGAGCCCTTCTTAGCTTTGTCAAGATTAGCCAGGGTCAATTGCATTTGGACATGCTAGGCAAATGTTAAGTTCTGGTGCATTTTTCCCTTTTAGATGAAATGTTAAAAAGAAGTAATTTATATACTTAGTGATAGATTTAACAAAGCATTTCACTGTTGTTTTCAGAGCCGAGTAGATGTCTATTCCACACACTGCCCGGCTGGAACATCTGTCCAGAATATGCTTCATTGGACTCAGGTAGAGACGAAATCTCCAGGCTGATTGATTAACGCTTGCAGCAATGATGTTTAGGTTATTGGCTTGCATTGACGGGTCCTGATTCAAATGTCAGCTTTTACCTGTGTGGCAATTCTGCAGGTGCTCTTCTAGGAGGAAGACCAATTGAACTTTGGAGGTCTTACTTCTAAGGAAATTCCCTCAGCAGGAGGTGGATGTTAAGGTTACTCAGTGCCATTATTTGCACTAAATCCTGGATGCCTGCCAGGATGGGAAGACTTTGGAAAATATACACAGCTGTGTATTTTTCAAGGAATGGGCGGCTAACAAGTGTTACAGGAAAACACCTGGTTGTTTTCTCTTCCTAAATATATTAAATACCTCAGAGCAGAAAGGCAGTAAATAGAATGAATGAATGAATTTTCTTGAAGGCATCCACACCTTTAAAAGTAACTTTATTTTTAAGGTTGTACGGTCTGGGGAAATGAGAGCATTTGACTGGGGAAGCAGAAAGGAAAATATGGCTCATTATAAACAGGTAAGAATTTCCAGACACATTCGACCGCAGTATTATCAGATAACCAATATACAGGTAGTCCTTGACCACAATTGAGCCCAGAATTTCTGATGTTATAAATGAGATAGTTGTTAAATGAATTTTGCTCCATTTTGACATTTCTTGCTACTGTTGTTAAATGAATCACAGTAGTTGGTTAAATTAGTAACATGGTTGTGAAATTAATCTGGCTTCCCTATTGACTTTGCTTGTCAGAAGGTCAGAAAAGGTGATCATGTGAACCCAGGACACTGGAAATGTCATAAATGTGAGTCAGTTGCAAAGTGTCTGAATTTTGATCATGTGACCATGCTTCTGCTGCAATGGTTGTAAAAAACTGTGTGAAAAACTGCCATAGTCCCTTTTTTCAGTCATGTCGTAACTTTAAATGGACACTAAACGAACTGTTACAAATCAAGGATAATGATGCTGCTTCTTTTGTTCTGTTTTCTTCTTCTTTTTTTGCAAAGATATAAATTTTCTTATGAATGGCCTTATCCTAAGGCAGTGATGAGGTGTCCCCCTCTTCCTGCATTTACAATTGTGCTTTCAGGGCAAAAAAAATCCCCATTTGTATCTACTTTGGGACTTAATCATCTGTGGAAACCTGTTTCAAATGAAGTGGCTAAAATGAGTAGCTCATTTTAGAGGGAGGGAGACAGAGAGGGTTGGAAGCTGATCTATTATCTACATGAAAAGAGTAGGGCCATCCTCATTTTGTTGGGTAGTATTAGAAACCATTCAGTTGCTGAAATTCCTGTAACCCCTTCCATTTTATCTGAATAAATCCTGGCATCTAAACTAAAACTTTCTCTCAGCCCAGGAATTCTCTACTTAGAATTCTTTTTATTCTATTTGCCCTAATTATGTTAGGGTACTGGAACTTAGGTACAGATTTTTAGTGTACTTTATATTAAGAAATTGAATTGTATTTGTTGTGTTTTTTATTGTACATATGTGTGGTTTATTGTTTTGGTATTTTTACTGTTTTCATGCTTTACATAACTTGGAAATCAGCCCCCAAAACTTTAGGGAAATATGGGGAAATATGTCAAATATTGATAAATTCCTGGAAAAATGGGAGGCCTTTGTTAAATACCCACATTTTTCCATCTATAAGATGCCCCCATGTATAGGACACCCCCATGTTTCATTTCAAGCACACTACAAGCCATCACTATGCAGAAGCCATCTTATTAGAGAGAGAGAGAGAGAGTAATACAACAAGAACAGGAAATGCATCACAGAAACAGTAGAGTTGAAACCTAGAGTGGCAATGTGATACAGGAAACAACTACAATAGAGAGGAATAATAGAGCTGCCTATAAGGTAGAGGTTTGCGCAGCAGAGCTGGAGGATGGGGATGGGCCACGCCTTCTCACGGCCCCCTGTCTATAAGATGCCCTTCCATTTTCAAGTGAATATTTTAAAGAAAAAATAGTGTCTTATATATGGAAAAATATGGTAATTTGCCTCAGATGACATGTTGAACAGATCTGGAGATCCTTGGCTTTCCAGTTGTTGCCAAACTACAACCTCAGCCAGTTTGCTCAGTGGTGACATCAGGATGAGAATCTCTTTGGATTTTTTTAATTGTTATTTTTCCTTCTTTCTTAGCCAACACCACCTCCCTACAAAATGAAAGGAATGCTTGTTCCAACAGCTATGTGGACGGGTGGCCATGACTGGCTGGCAGACCCAAAGGACGCTGCCATGTTAATGACTATGATCCCAAATTTGATATACCACAAGGAGATCCCAGAGTGGGAACATCTGGATTTCATCTGGGGCCTTGACGCCCCCCAGCGCATGTTCAGAGATATGATTCAGATGATGCGGAAAGTTCAGTATGCCCATTGATTACTTGAAGTTGTAATCCCAAAACACCGATGCAGTTGTGAAAAGGAAGTCTTGCTTTTTACCTACGTAATAAGTATTATTCCAACACAATCCTCCAAAGCACACACTTCTTGTTTGCTTAAAATATGAAAGAAGCACTTGGTTCTTTAAACACAAATGATCCTGGAAGGTATTACAGAGTAGATTTCTTGCCTTAAAATCCTCCTGTGGATTTTAACGCTGCATCTCTCCGTAATATGGAGAGAAGAAATATTTTTATTCATTTCAATAGGAAAAGGCTTGTGAGGCAGTCTTCTTGAATTGTTGTCCTGGTTTTGGAAACAGATGCAGGCATGATATTTTCTGGGACATCTGGAAGACTTGGGTGTTTTAGAGGGAGCGGGCATGTTAAACGCAACATCATGCGTAGCGGAGACTGTTCTCTTGGAAATAAATTAGCTTTTATAATGAAATATGCTTCGACTGCCTCAATTGCTACCCTGAAAGTTTTGAACATGTATTAGAATTAAATACTGAATGAAATGGGTTGCACATCAACGGGGGAACTTGTCCGTTGTGTTGGAAAGTGGCTTCATTGCAACTGAGCTTTTCACCAGCCTAAGAAGGCAATGCAGAACAACATAGAGCAAAAATTGAACCCAGTGAAGATGGTTGTTTTCCTTAAGATGGTTGGAATGAGATTTCTCCTTCCTAAGAATTTTAATGCCTTGAATGCCAGAGATATGCAGTCCATCAGATTCCATTCTCTGTCATATACATCTTACGGCTGTGACAAGTCACATGGGGCATAAAGAAAATGTTGATAGGGGGACTCAACATTAAAGTCACCTATTTTGTCCTTAAATTTTCTCCTACATTTTAGAACTTTTGTCATTTTACAGGCCCATTAGGAGTGGTGGAAAGGAGAAATCAGTTTTGGCAACTTTGCAATTTGTGTTCCTAAATTTACTTCTGCTTCTGTTCATTGATGGTGAGCTGTAGAGAAACGTCCAGGGCAATTGTTCTGATTTGTTTTTCTTTGTTTTTCTATGAAGTTCAGCAGCTAAAGGGATGAGGATTACAAATGGGAATGCTTGAAAGAAATCACATTTCCTTCACAATAGAGTACATCCAAAACAAGGAATCTTAATTATATCACGGCAGTTTTTATTCAAACCACTTCCCAACCTGCTGTCCTTATGTATATCAGACTTACATACCTACAGTTCTTGGCCATATGAAACGCTAGTTGGGAGATTACGGGCACTGAACCTCAAATCATTTGTAGAGGGTACCATATGTAAAACTTGACCATACATTTAGAGACTTATATCTATTAAGTTTACATAAAACCTTATATGGTGTTTAGATCTCCAGGACATGATATTATCAAGGTTCCGAGTGACAAACCCAACCAAAGTAAGCACGACCGAGATGATCCAATCTCTTAATGCAGAACTTAATATTGAGTACATCATTTCGGCACTGATGAGGGCAAAACCAGATTTATCTATTTCCCGCGCAAACCCACATAGCCTTCAGGTTCTGCCCCTCTCCCATTAGAACAGGTCACATTGTCCAATTGAGTCTCCTGGTATTGTGAGAAAGTCTTTCTCTGATAAACACCTGCCAAAATGTCTTTGGTTCCCATGCTTGGCGTCTTGATATCTGAAACCTAAATTCTATCTTCCCCCTTCCCTCCTCCATAGCTGAGAAGCGATAATAGTTGTAACAGAAAAAAGCGGGCTTTGAAGCTTGACAGATAACTTCTAGTAGGATGGGCACAAGCTGTTGTATTTTAAGAAGCAAATTTTGGGGATTGCTGACAGCCCATGTGGTCTAGCAGTTAACATAGTGGCTTGCACTGGTGAGACCCAAGTTCTAGTCCCTCCTCAATCATAGAAGTTTAAAGGTCAACTCTTAGCTCAGTAATTTTTCATTTTTTAGTCCAACTTACCTCATAAGGGCTGCTCTGGAGAATACAGGAGGAAACACACTACACTTCTGTCTTGAGCTCCTGTTTTAAAAGCAGGCTGAACATTGAACAAATAAATATGGATGATAATGGGAATTTAAATAGTACCGTGAAATGGAAGCATGCTTTTACCAAGATAGTTTAGTTTGTTTTAACCAAGCATAAAGAGGGTAAACAAGAAGTAGTTTAGTGGTTAAGGTACCAGGATAGAAATCAGAAAATCTGAGTTCTAGTCTTGCCTTAAGTATAAAAGCCAACCAGGTGACTTTGAGTCAGTCTCTTTCAGGTCATGATATCAGGTTCAGGTGACAAGCTGTTCAGTCAATTCCTGTCACAACCAATGGATCAAACTTGGCTGATCTGGGGGGAAAAAACACTTGTGGGAAAAATGCTATGAAGAAAAAAAAAGGAGCACAAGGAGGAACAAAAAGATCTATAGGGTCAAAGTTTGATATGCTGACTAAATCGCTTAAGAGTGCTATAAAGCACTTATATCGGTCTAAGTGCTATTGATGTTGACTCTGGGTGATTGTACCCACCCTGTTTCTTTGGCAGTATTATGGAAGTGATTTATTCTTCAATTTTGCTGAAATGTTTTCCAGTTTCCCAACTGAGTAAAGAGCCATGGAATTTCCAAGTAGGTGATTGCTCATTTAAATAGGGATAACAAAATAGTGATTGGCAGTTTCATTTCTGAGATTAACCAAGACCAGCTAGGTCCTGCCATCTGTTGAGATCGATATTTGAATAGGAAAGACCTGGTGTATCTTTTGTCTTATAACATCATAAATCCAGTTCTTTTGACAGCCAGGTTATCGGTCCTGATCATGTAAATAAATCAGAGGAAGGCAGGATATTTTATCCTAAATAATATTTCCAGGATAGTAGTTGGGGAGAAAAAGAGATTGCTCCTAGGAGTATAATTATGGCTGTGGGAAATGTTTTATAGAGCTAGGTTAAAATTAATGATAAATACACCATTGAGGACATTTGGCATGGCAGAAGTTCCTTCAAATTTATGACGTTTTGATTTGTGCTTAGAAACTATGTAAGATTAATCACATATATGGTATCCTCAAGATATTTTAAACTAGTATCTGAGACCAAAATAACTCAATATAATTTAGACCAAGAGAATTCCCCAGCAGAGCTGGCTGGGGAATTCTGAAAGCTGAAATCCACACATTGTAAAGTTGCCAGGTTTTGAGACATCCTGTTTTAGACTTTCAACTGCCAACATTCTGGGTGGAAATTTTGAGTGTCAGTAAATGGAAAAGGTTAGTGAAAAACATATTTATTTTCTTGCTATTTGTTTCTGACTAATTTAACAGACCATGTACACTAGCAATATCTCAAACAGGCTCTACAAAGAATTAATTCTGATTTTAACTATTGTAGCTAATTTGGGTTATGTTCACACTAGAACTTGAAGAAATATTGTTCATGATCATAATTGGGAAATGGGTTTAGCAGAATTAATAATTAGATAAATGTTGCACTTGTACGGCAGCCAGGTATTCTTGGAGATAGCATTTTCTTACAATAGCCACTCACAAATATGACTATATTCTTTGATTTTTAGCCTCAATGTTAAAGCAAGACAACACAATTAAATTAAGTTCTCTCATACACACAGTTGTCACTCATATTCCCCCAATACTGATTAGATTTTCACAGATATACAATATTTCACATATACACATACCCTGATTGGTTCCCTAGTGAGAAACTATGCTTGCACAGGTATATAAAGAGAATAAGAAAGTTAACACACTATATCAGTGTATCCCAAACCTGGATATATTATGCAAAATTGTTTAAAAGTACTTCTTAGGGTAACACAGAATGAATCCGTTATCCAATTATAACGGGGCCTAAATTGACTACAAGTTTTTTATCTACAGCGCATAAAAAGGACTTTTTGATAAGCAATTTTGGGTAATGAAAGTTTGAGAAACACTATGGTTTCCTGATCTTAGACTTAGAACACTTTATTGTCACTTTGAATGTACACTAATCAGCATTCATTAAAATGAAATTACATTGCATATAGCTCTCAAAGGGTCTCCACCTCTAATATAAACATAAACATGACAAGATAAATAAACAAATACAAAATTATGCATGTACCCACATAAATTATATGACACAGAAACAACACAGTCTAGTTTGGATATATACATGTACAAGGCAAGAGAAACGAATCTTGCAAGTTGACCAGACAGAGGGCATAGGGAACAAAGCTGTTACAGAACTTGGTAGTCCTGCTAGAAATACTTTGAAACCTCCTCCTAGAAGGGGGAGCAACAGAAACAGACCATGAAGTGGGTATGCGGGCAGGGGTGGGATTCAAATTTTTTAACAACCAGTTCTGTGGGCATGGCTTAGTTGGTGGGTGTGGCTTGATGGTCATGTGACTGGGTGGACATGGCTTGGTGGTCATGTTATTGGCTGGGCGTGTTCAACTCAATATCACTCACATCAAGGCACGCATCTCCTCGCCTGGCCTCTTGTGATTGGGGATGCTGCAACAGTCGTAAGTGTGAAAAACAGTCATAAGTCACTTTTTTCAATGGTCACTTCACACAAGCAAAGAACCAGCAAAGGAGGAAAAAAACCTCCAGAGAAGTTCCAGGGACAGGAAGTCTAGTCCTGCCAAGAATGTAATAAGGGTTAATGGAGAGGCAGTTTCTGTAAGCAACACCAGAATGTTTCCTTCCTGCCTTCCTTACAGGATTAGGCCAGTATTTCTTCTAGCACCGGTTCACCGAACTGCTTAGAATGTTAACAACCGGTTCTAGCGAATAGGTGCGAACTGGTAGAATCCCACCCCTGTATGCGAGGTCTCTAACATTGCTTTGCGCTCTAAGCACATGGTACTTATAAGCAGCATCATGAATGACATACTTGTTTTCTCAAGCTTTAGAATAGAATAGAATAGAATAGAATAGAATAGAATAGAATAGAATAGAATAGAATAGAATAGAATAGAATAGAATAGAATAGAATTCTTTATTGGTCAAGTGTGGTTGGACACACAAGGAATTTGTCTTGGTGCAAATACTCTCAG